CATCTTGCTGTAGCTTTGGTCTATCTTCCCCTCTCCACTGCCTTAATTCAGGCTAATTAAGAAGAAATTGTATCTGTATCTAGTTATTTTCCAGAAGTTTTGTGCAGTACCAGTTCTACACCATCGCAGAAAAGGAATCCTTTCTATTCTTCTTTCATATGCAATATAAAATTTCCATATTTAAAAATAGGAATGTATCATTCCAGCACACATCCCAGAATTACTTAACCTGGAACCCTGACTGTAGCAATTACTTATATCTTGCTCCTTTGAAGAAGTTAAGATACAGAGAAGTTAGTGTTGATTACCATCTTACTAAGTTTCACAATATAGACTCACCTGTATTATCCAAAGCGGAGAACGACTGTTTCAGAAAGTAGTAGTGTTACAAGTGTTCCAGTGGACACAACATCCTGCCCAAATCTCCTTGCTTGTGGTATGGATCTGTGATGTGGAGAATTCGGGAGTTTACAAATGTCTGCCTTCACACACCATATATTTTCAAAACAACTCTGATCAAATCCTTGTTTTGATTTACAGACCATTTCTTTCTAAACAGTAGGTGACAGGTTTGTTTTCTGCTGGATCGTATACTGAATGGGGATTTTCAGTTCAAACCTGATGTCCAAATTTCTGGTGTTTTCCTCCATGCCTGTGCCAATGGAAAAGGAAGTCCTGCCTTCCGCTACATTCTCCCTTCTTATGTTCAGTCACAGTTATGCACTTATCCAGCAAGAGACACGAAACGCATCGTGGTTAGACACAGACAATATTTTCGGGAAATATAATAATCACTTCAAGCCATACAGGAAAGATTAAGAGTTCAAGAAAACAAATGAATAGCTTTCAGCCTTTAGGAATTTGTGTTTATTCCTGTTAGGAGAAAGATGTGACAGCTGGGCACAGAAATAAACCAAAGAAAATGTGTTAAAATGCTACAGTAGAGGATTATCAATAAAAAAATGAAATGTAAAACATTATAAAAAAAGCTGTGAGAAAAAATAATTTCCGGGACCAACCCAGGAAGCATGATCAATTTTAGTTTGCTAATTTACAATAGTATTCAAGCAAATCCAGTCATAGGCTGTGCTATCTATGGTAGACCGTACAGAAGCTTCTACAGACCCTCATGCCATCTCTGGTGCCCTGCAAAAAAAAGGAGGTGTCGCCTGAGACATTGTCTTGTAAAAGATGCCTACTGGAGGGCTGCTGTGGAAATCTGGACCCAGAGAACTGACTTGCCCAGGCTAGGAAAGCAGGGAGAAGAACCTGGACTTCTTTTGGGAATGGGGCTGCCCATGAAACAAAGACAGCTATGATGCATAGAAAGGGTCTTAGAAGAAAAGGACAATTTTCTAGGGACAGAAACTGTCAAAGGCAACCTTTCTTCTCAAGAAACGGTAATTTACTTAGCTGACTTGAGTGTCAAACTCAAAAGCTGCAGGGTTTTTTATACTTCAGTATGCATGCACAAGCAGCTCAGAGGCATATTTCATCAAATTATGTTGTTTTCATGTTATCTACCTAATAAGACCTTTTTGAATTCTTTTCCTGTGTTTTAAACCAAAAAGTCTCTGTGATGTGTTTGAATCTTACCGTGAGTAGTGAAATCTAGTCCAAGCAAATTCTTTTCTGCCCAGTGTTCAAGATCTCCTACAGGAGCTCTAAGCAGATTAGTGCTGAGAGCCTGAGAGAATTACAGCTCTCAGATGACTTCTCAAGTGAGGCATATAGGCATCAGCTGCTAAGATTAGTGGTACTTATAACTCCTTGCCTAATTAAGGTGCAGCCACATGGCGTTTGAAAGTGTACATGCAAACTAACTGGAACTGATGTACCATAATAAATAATGAACTGTGTAAGCCAGCGGCAGCTGACAAAAGAACTGCCGAAAGCCCCACCGGCACCTCAGTATTTCCTAAGCCGCCATGCCAGAAACCTCATGTGTTGTGGCTACCTATGTGACACCAAGCTTGCAGAGCCAGCTCTTTCCCAGTTGTTAGGCTGGCCCTCCCAATTCCTTGCAAGGGAAATGTCCTCACCTCTGCAGTTGTGGAGCTCAACAGCATTTGGTCAGAGTTGCAGATGGCAGGTCAGATCTGAAGGTGCCTGCCCCACAAGCCTAAGAAAGAACAGAAAGGTGAATTTTTTTTTGATGACTGGGTTTGTATTCTCAAGGCCTTCTCTGGGAGATGTGTAATTGAATCGAGCAGAATAGGCAACCACAAAAGGCAGCCAAATTTGTGCAGTCTGATTTATCTGCAGCTGTACTGTAAAAAAAATGCCCTCCCACTGAGCCTATTTTGTGGGAACGTAATTCCTTGTCAGCTGCTTCCTGAGGTGATACTTTTGCCAGGAAATTCAACCTGTCTATAGAACACCTTAGCACAGCAGTAGAAAGAACCTGAGCATTTTATTGTTGCTGACTTGATTAAAGAGTCAAAACAGTGCAATAATAGTCATCCATGATGCTGAGTCTTCAAACAGAGATAACACTAAACCATGTGGATCTAACCTATAAGCTAATGCAAATATCTTAATATTTGGCACTATTCATCTATTAAAAAACTAGCTCTTTTCTTTACTAATGTAAATATCAGTTGAGATTTCTTAAGACATACATAATTTAAAGCAGTGTAATCTTCAAATTCAATTAAAAAGTCAACTCTTTTTTATGCTTCATTACCTTTTTTCCTTGCCATACCTTCTTTTTCTAAGTCAATTAGAATGAAATGAAAGAAAGGGCAACAAACTTTGAAATGTTTTGAAACATGATTTTTTGCCTTGCTAATAAATGTTCAATGTTTTTCTTGAAATGCAGCATTTTTCAACAACATCTACAATTAATAAACACAACCCACCTTAAAAAAAATTCAAATTAACACAGTCTTTCTCTTGTAAATTGCTCATTAAGTGAGAAAACAAAGGTCTCAAAGTAAGGCTTCATGAAGAATCAACCTAAGGCTGCCATCTTGCCCTTCTACTTCCACTCATGCATTCCCACTGCCTCCTTTGTGTTGGCAGTAGAGCTCGTGACCAGAAGGCAGACCAGATTAGCTGCCTGGGAGGCTGAAAACTAAATAAGCAGAGAAGAAGGTAAATGGCAAAAGGAGCAAGAAGATGGGATTTCATCTTCTAGTAGCAGACAATATTTACATCTGCTTAAGCCCATCAAAAAATCACATGCTGAAGCCTTTTGAATAGTGGGTCAGAAAGTGTCCGCAGTAAGTTAAGATACATCCAGGACCTGTTTTAGGAAACACTTAACTTATTTCTGACGTAGCTGCTAGTATTTATTTAAACTCCAATGTGAATTTGTAAATGATCTTACGTATTTGTTTATGAATACGCTGCGGCTTTGGGAAGAAAACTAGTGCAGTGTCAATGGTTACAGACCCTCTAACTGGTGGAAGTGCTGTAATACCAAGTAGTGAGACTACAGAGAGACTGGAGAGTGCCAAGCTTTGGTGCTAAAATGCCACCCTTGGCAGTGGTGGCTACACAGCAGCTTCTGGCATGGCATGTAGCTAGGCAGTGGTGCTCAGCACTTGGGTCAACATCTGTGGTTCCCAAGGACACATACTGCTTGGGCAGTACTCATACACTGTGTTTGCAAAGTTTGCTTATCATATTCTGGGATTCTTTGGTGCCGAGTGAAGCTCATTCAAATTCTTAGAGCTTTAATTACATATTTTTGTCTTTGTTAGAACAGAAACTGGGACAACCACCCAGCTCTTGAAGTCCACCTTTCTGGTCTCTCTCCTCAAAACAGCCTTAACCACTCATACCCTCCAGCTCACCACATTTTCTACTGCCCTGTGCTCAGCCTTTACATCTCCTTGCAGCTGCTACACCCAAAAGACAAAGCCCCCATCCCTAGCAGCCTAATACCTGAATGAGCAAACTGACTGGAACATAGGTAAAAAGCAGTTTTGAAATCAGAAACCACCCTCTTACCCTTCGATGAGGCCTCTGTGTGTCCAGCTTGATGAATGCTGATGCAGCAGTGGAACAAAAAACGTACAAAAAAGCTTATGCTGCTTCTAAGGCGTGTTACCTGCCTGCTCAGTAGATACACGAAGGGATAGG